TAACCAGGGAGCTGTTCATATTGTTGGCCTAGATAGCACTAAGTAAATAAGAAATAGTCTCTTTATTTCAGCCTCTCCTGCAGAGCTGACACTAGTTTGGGATACAGAGCAGGTTCTCTCCTTCCTCTGCTTTTAGAGACACATAGGAAGCTTCCTTTTGTTTCCCCTGTGGAAACCTGTTGACAGTGGTAAAGAATGTGAACGCCATGGTTTGAAGGAAATGTAGTTGCAAATAATTGAAAGGAACCAGTGAGGCTATACAGAGCTTTTACTAGTGGTGATGATGCAAGTGAAAGACAAAATTCATCTTGATTCTGGGCCAGTGATAAACTTCTCAGAATTGGGGGTTTTTTTGTTTGTTTGTTTGGTTTTTTTTGTTTGGTTTTTTTTTTTTTTTTTTTGTTTATTTTTTTTAATTCTAGCTTTTGAGTAAAGTGGTGCACTCTGATTGCATGAGGCTATAAATGTGACCCCAATGCTTTCAAAAACCTGTTTTGCAAAAACATCTGGATTTTTTAAACCGCAGAAGAACAATTTTAAAAAATCTTGAAAACAGCTAGGAAACCAGCTTCTCTCTCCAGCAAAAATACTTTATAAAGGAATTAATGAAAGAAGAAATGTAAGTAGAAAATTGAAGAGAGTAATTTTGGGGGGGTTTGCCTGCACAGGGCTGTTGCTACACTGGGGGCAACAATTTATTTACAATCAATTTAGACAGATGCCTAAGCTTCTAAAACCACATTTAAACCAGAGTTTAAAATCAAGGAGAAGAAATACCTTTCTTTGGATGTAGCCACAACTATGACTTGGTTAAGCATGCTACAGAACATGGAAAGGATGAAAAATAAGTAAGTTTATGAAATTTTCTTGTGAAGTTTGTCACAAAACTTAGAGTAGCTTCTTATTAGAGGATGTAGAAGTTCTTGCCCACTACAGTGATGTGTGAGGTAAATCACAGGTGACCCAAAAGGGTTGAGAAGAATTGTATGATTCGGGTCAGCAGTAGTTTTGTGAGATATATTTACATTAGTCTGTTATTTTTGGAAAGTGTTGTGAGTTATTCAGAGTTTCTCTTTGCTAGGCATTGCATCAATATTTTAGGTGCTTGCTGTCTGCCCCAGCCAATGCATTCACTGCTGGTTTCAGTGGGTACGACAGTGACAGCCAAAAGATGAGAGTTAGGACAAAGAACTCTGTGAAACAGCATGAGGCTTTAAGCATAAATTCCCAGAGTTATGCAAATCTAGAAAATTAAAAGGAGAGGGATCTACTGGCCTTGGCAGCTTTTACATTAGTTCTCATGAGTGAAAGCAGGTTTGTGGTTGTGGAGCAATTTCAGAGCGAGTTCCTTTCAGGTGAGGGACTGGCAATTTGACTGCTGGCAAGGCTGCAGCACTTCCTAATGGAAGCTGGTAGTATTGATTTTGGATCAGAAGTGAGGTCCAGGAATTTGAGTTCCTGAAAAATATCCCAAGATGCTACAGAAAAGAGTGCAGCTATTCAGCCTCATCCAGCTCCCAGTAGATTTCCTTGCCTAGAGCATCTCAGGTTTTCCCTGAAAACTGAGGCAGGCACAGGATTCCCCCTGGCTTTCTCTCAGAGGGTGTCTCTAAGCACAGTGTGTGTGCACACTCACTGTCAGAGCCTCCCTGCTGCCCTAAGCCTTGCTCCAGAGTGGCTCTACTGAGGCTGCCATGCCTTCCTAAGCCATTCTAATGATTGCTTCCCTCTGATACATCAATCTGTGCAGATGAACTGGTGTCACTGTCATGCTTTCCGAAAAACCCCTTTGCCCAGGATTCTTCTCCTGGGAAGCTCAGAAGCCTCAGAGAAAAAGAGAAACAATATTATCTCATTTGCTTCTCCTGTGTTTTGCTGCTTTGGAATGTCGTTGGAGATTGTTTACTTATTGGCCAATGATGGCCAAGCTCTGTTGGACTCTGAGGAGAGAGTCACGAGTTTTTCATTATTATCTTTTACCCTTCTGTCTGTATCCTGTCTCTGTTCTTTAGTATAGCATCATATCATATCATATCATATCATATCATTAATATCGTAGCATATAACATAATATCATAGCATATAATATATCATATAATAAAATAATAAATTACTCTTCTAAGAACATGGAGTCAGATTCATCATTTCCTCCCAATGATGGGGGACCCTGAAAATACCACAAACTGCTTAGCAATGCTCTATTTCTGCCCAAGGAAATGAAATAATGTATAAAATGTTGCTCACAAGCATTGTTTCCTTCCCTGTCTTCCCCCCAAGGTGGTCAGAGCTGGTGCAGCCCATTGTTTTGAGCTGCCCAGGTGTTCAGCAGCCTTGCTGCCCATGGCGGCACCAAATGAGTCAGACAGGATAGGCTGAACAGACTTTTTATTTGCATTCACATCCTGGCTTGTAGGAGTGGTTGAAAAAGACAATGTGCTAAGGTATAGAAAGTGGTTTAAATATATATTCTTTTAAAATTCTCATTGCAGGGCCCAGACGTGGAAGTGCAGACAGGCAGGGTGTTTTCAGGCAATGCCATCCAGCCTCCTCTGCAGCTGCAGCACTCAGGACTCACTTTGAGCTGAGATGTTTGGGGTTCTGTCATTGCTGGCCTGATCAGAAGGATCCTCTAGAATCTGTAACACTTTGTCAGGTCCTTGTTGTGAAACATGTGTATTATATGATTAGCTTTTCACAAATACTAAAATGAATATTATATGTGTCATGTTAGAAAGTTATGCTGTATTAATTTTTTTAAGTAGTGTGTTAAATATAGTTTTAGGTTATATCATGATGTTCAAATAGAAACTATATATGTGAGATATTTTTTAATAAAGGAACGAGGTACTTGCACCAGATAGCAGCCACAGGACACCTAAATCTTTCAGAGAATTTATTGCTCCATTATCAGAAGAAACGAACTTCTTCCTGCCTCACTCATATATGAAGATGCCGTTAGGATTCAGAGGAAGAAGCTGACACTGACCAGACAGAATCCTTTGATTGAATGGAATTTATGCATCATGTATGAGGTGTATGAATATGCAACAGGTTATTGCTTTTAAGGGTTAATCCTCTGTTAACTGTGTGTCCTTTTTCAGGCTTATTTTGCCCAGAAAGAGGAACCCGGACTGTGTGTAACTCTTTGTTTCTATTGTCTCATATTGTCCTAATCTCAATTGTTCAAATATTTATTACTCTTAATTATATTGCTATTTTTATAAGCATTTTATTACTATTAAACTTTTAAAATTTCAAAACCAAGCGATTGGCATTTTTCACACTTGCTTTCATTTTCTAGCATGAAAAATCATCACACACAGTTTTGTCCTCATATTCAACACCACCTTTGAATTCACACCCCATTTTCCGTGGTTTATGGCAGATGGCAACTGCATCCTGTGTCTCAGCTTTCATCAAACAAGCTGTGCTCTGGTAACAGACTTCTCACACAGACTGTTCTTTTCCTTGGCTGTGCTCACAGACCTCTCTGGGCGGGCTGGATTAGCTGCTGCTCGCTGAAGAAGGGTGCTCACAGCAATATGGGACTCTTCAAGGAGATGGCCAGACCTGCTGGACATCACATCACGGACACTTCACTGCCCTGCCACAGCTCTACAGCTCTGCAGTTGCACATCCCAAGATGAGTGTTTGATTTTTGTGCCATTGCTTCATATTGGTAATGGTGCCCCTTGTGTAGCTGCCTGGCATTGTTTGGTTCCTCAGTTACTTCCATACAATGATCCCATATCCCAATCTTGTATCAGTTCGTTCCTTTCTAACAGCAATTCTTCCCTTTTTGCCTTTTTTTTTTAAATCTCATCAGTTTGCTGGTTTTTTTTTTTTCTCCAAAAGACTTTAAAGGAAAACATGAAACACAGATTAGTTCCAAGGATAATATCCCAGGATGGCATCAGTAGCCTCCCTCAGCTCAGCACTTTGCATTCAACACTACTTCACACTGTTTCCCCCTGTGCTTCTGCTTCATTGAAGTTCTCCTAAAGACCAAGAGAATTCTCCAGAAATTAGTCTTCTCCAGGACTAATAATTTCCATTCCAGGCTCTTCACTGAAGTCTGTTATTCAGTATCAGCAATAAAACATTTCCTTTGCCCAGGGCACCAAGCATCTCAAAAAGGGCAAACATCGACTGCCAGTTCAACGCTCACATCTGATCTTGCCTATGTGCTTGTCTTTATACAGAGCTGGAACCTCAGAAGCCTTGAGGTGAAAGTAGCAGCCCTGCATTTTCCTGAACATGGTTTCTCTGCCTTTTCCAAGGTATGGAATGTTCTAGAAGTGGAAGAATTTCCTAGATTTTTCGTAGCCATCTGCTATCATGTTTACTCTCACAACTGCAATTCAATGCACTCCTTCTTTCTGTTTTGGAGTCTCTGGGAACTGAGAGAATTTGCAACTCTTCACCTTTCCAGCCTTCCACTTGTGGAATTTCCCTTATCACTCCTACTATTTGTCCTGCCCCCACTCCTTTTAATATCATCACTGGAAAAACAACACCAATGACCTGATTGTAAACATAGCAGGACTTGGCTGAGGTTTTATCCACTTCGAATTCCCTTCATGCAGCCTGGGCTCAAGTACGATGCTGGTTTTACTACCGTAGGAGTTTCCCGGAGAGTGCCAATTTTTGCATTTAGCTCCTCATTAGATTTTACACCACGGGACGAGCACCCTTTGAAAATCCTCTTTGGGGGATCCTCCACTACTGAGACAGCCGGGGAGTCTCGACGTCTGAGCCGAGTGCTGAAACGTGCCAGTGGTGCCGCGTGGGTGCCAGCCCGGTTCTGCCGGCGGCCCCATCCCCGCATCCATCCCCGCATCCATCCCCGCATCGCTCCCGCCGCGCGTTCCCGCTCCCGCCGCGCGTTCCCGCGCCCGCCCGGCCGCCGCGCGCGGGGGCGTGGTCTGCGGGGACGGGTGGGGCTCTCTGGCCTCCCATTGGCCGGAGGGGTAGGAAGGGGCGTGGTTTCCCCCGCGGTGGGCGGGGCCGGTGCCTCGCTGGGCTCCCTGGGCTGCGGGCGGGCCCGGGCGGCGCGGTGCGCTCGGCCGGGAGCAGGTAGGGCTGGGGCGGGGCTGGCGCTTCCCCGGTGCTTTCCAGGTGATTTCCCGGTGCTGTCCCGGTGCTTCCCGAACGCCCTCCCGGCGCTTCCCATCCTCGCTCGGCGCGTCGCGGGGGCGGGGTGGCGGCGCAGGGACCGCCGCAGCGGGCGGGCCGCGGCCGGCCTGGCTCCCCCCGTTGGGCTGCGGCGCAGGGGCCGGGGGCGGGCGCGGCCCGGGCGGTGTCACCGCCTGTCCCTGCGGAGACCCCCGGCTCAGGGGATGCGCTGTGGGAGAGCGGGGAGTGCTGGGGAGGTGGCTGGGGGCTGTGGGCGGGCAGAGCCGGCCTGGAGGGTGCGGGAGCTGAGCTCCCTGGGCTCCCGGCCTCACAAAGCGCCGGTCCGGGGGAGCTCACAGGGTGCGGAGCATCTCTCCTGTGAGGAGACACTGCGGGAGCTGGGCCCGTGCGTGCGGACAGGGAACAGACGGGATCTCGTTAGTGCATATAAATATCCCGAAGGCAGTGCCAAAGGGATGGTGCCAGGCTCTGTTCAGTGGTGCCCAGAGGATGAGGAGCAGTGTCTGCAAACTGAAACACAAGAAGTTCCACCTCAGCATGGGGAGGAATTTATTTACGCTGAGGGTGGCAGAGCCCTGGCCCAGGGGGCTGTGCAGTCTCCCTCCCTGCAGACATCCAGAGCCCACCTGGACACGTCCTGTGCCACCTGCTCCAGGTGACCCTGCCCTGGCAGGGGGTTGGAATGGAGGATTTCCTGAGATCCCTTCCAACCCTGACAGTTCAGTGAATCTGTGAAAACACTGCCATGTTGGGCCCTGCACACCACCCAGACTTTGGGTTTACCCACAGGTATATAGCATGTCTGCCACCTGTGCTGTAAGTGTTCTGAAGTGTGCAGCTGCTGTATGTGCAAGAAACTTGTTCTCTGAACTTAATTTTTCTTGAGCACATCTAAGTACATGATAAGGAGTCCATTTTACATGCTTGTTGTCAAAAATAGCATCACATTTGTGACAGGTTCAGCTATCAAAGCCCAGAACAGCTGTATGTTATAGCTTGAAGTGCTTTAGCATTTGCAAGTTCTTACAGCACTTGCAGGAAGGCCTTGTGCTTTAACACGAATTACAAACTAGAGTACGTGAAAAAGTTGGATCCTCTATTGTGGAACTTTTTTATATGTATCTGCAGAGCTACCATGCATTTCTGTGTAATGTGAGGATATCAAGAAACCTTGTTGCTGTTCAGTTTTGCCAGCAAAAGGGTGTGTGCACCTGATCACTCTGAAGATTTTCCCCTGATATTTCTGTTTTTTCAGTTTCAGGTATAATTCAGTAGGAAGAGCATATGGCTGGCAAATAGTAAGTATGGTACTCTCTTCTGTGCTAAGCTGTGCTCAGTGGTAGTCTGGCAATGCTGTGAATAGAAAAATTCTCTCTTTTATGTGATTTCTCTAATAGTTTCTGCTCTAAACTCTTTTACTAATACAGGAAAGTCACTGCTCTTTTGGAAGGCCTCCCATTCCACTGCACCAGGACTTTCCAGCTGAATCTTGGTGGGAAGTATGTTTTGGGTATTGTTTTGGTTTTGCTCACAGCAGAGCTCATTGTGAGGATGGCGTGGGGATGCCTTTTCAGTGCCTTTGAAATAGCTTTCAGCCTTTTCCTTTGCCTTTGCAGCTGTGTGTGTGGTGTCAGCTGGCTGGGAAGCTCTCACAGCTGAGCTGGCAGCCCCTGGAGGTGGCTGTGGGTGCACAAGGTGTCACCTTGACATCGTGTGTCAGTGCTGGGTGGTGACAATGCCCTGTTCCAGAGCCAGATGAAACCCTGGAGTGTGAGGGTGTGCACACTTCCATGAGGGTGTGCACGCCTCCACTGGAGGTGCTGGCATGTAAATTCATTCCTTATGGAGTTGGGTCAGCATCTGCACTGTAGCCCTTGGGATTGGTGCTCCTCCCTGGCAGCATGGGTTGTTTCCCTGCCTGCTTTGCTTTGGCAGCACACAGAGGGTGTTCTTGTCCCTGGCCCTGCAGAATAAAACATGCCCTGGCTGCTTGCACGGGTTGTGTTCTGTTTGATCTCCTTTCCTGTGCCATAAACACTCTTTCTTATGTTCATTTTAAAATGTCTGTGTTGGTTTCAAGTTCCAACAACTTGTGTTGCCCTACTTCACAAAATCTCACCTTTTCCTGTTACCATCTGCTCAGTCAGGTCTGGCTACTTTTCACTGTGCTCCTTTTGTTCCCTCAGTTGTAGGGCTGTGCAAAAAGCTTTAAATTTCTTTTGTGTCTTTTTCCAGCTTAAGAGGCTCAGCTAATATGTCTTTTATACTCATGCATATTGCTTGTTCCTTTGTGCATTTTGTGAGAGCTCTGGGGTGCTGCCTGTGAGAAACTTGGGGATTCATGTGTCTTACAAAGCTTTGTTTTGTTTTGCCACAGCCTCTGAAGAAATATCAGATTGTAGCAGATTTATTTCACTGCTGCCCTTCAAAAGCAATTTAATTAGATATTTGCAGCTTAAAGGACTTTATAGACTTTCACACAAGAAAGCTGTCATCTTTATGATGGCTATTAAGCCATTGAAATGTAAACTCTTAACTTTTCCTGACTGTAAGAAAATACTAATTGAAATAATTAGAGATATTTTTGGCCTTGTTGAATAAAAGAACACGTAAGCCAATGCAATTTGATAATGCTGTGGGAAAAAATAGTCCTGTCCTTCCAGTCGCCTCCTCCTTGATCTTCATGCCAGAACATGAATTTGTGCAGCTGTATAAGACTAAGGAAATAAACTAGTTGGGAGGAAAATGAGCATTTTTCATGTGCACCTTTATTTCCAACTTGAGCACAAGGTGAACAGTGTGTGATGGGCAAGAAGACGAGGCTTTAATTTATTTACTTAAAGATTAGCATCTGCTAATGCTAAAATGCTTTTTATATAAGCATATAGATTGTGAGGTCCCAAGCAGTGTGACCCATTTATTTAGGGAAATACCAGACTGAATCTGCTCATATAGCTTGTTGTGTGTTACATACAAATACCAAAATAAATAGTTTCATTTTTCATATTTACAAAATTTTCATATTTTGGGTATAAATGAAATGTAATAAAAACAACTATTTATTCAAGCTGCACATTTTCTTTCTGTCAAGCAGGCTGGCTGAACAAATTCCTGAGAAAAGAGCACTGTATAGCAATCTCCACAATGAAAATGTAGGTTGTTTAGTAGAAATGTTGCTTTTACCCCAAGTGTTTAATAATGATCATTCAAGATGCAGAATTTAAATTCTTCAGCTGTGAGATGTAGTCTCTGATGATGCAATCATGTCTGTTTTGATGATATTTTTGTTATTTGTTAATGTGGTAGCCAGCTTTCCTCTGATCTCAGCCTGGGAACCACAACTAGGATATAACTTGGGCTGGTTGTTAGATTTTGTCACTCTATCACTACAATGTTTTAGTCCCGATTCTCTCTCCTAGATTGCTGGAAGGCCTGGGAAGGTGACTGGAAGCAGCAGCAGAGGGGGAAGGTTCCAGGACTGTGGTAAGTGTGCTATTTTAAACCAGTCAGGAGCAGAGCTGGGAAGGAGCTGATATGGAACCGTGAGTCCAGGAGTGAATCACTTGGTGATGAATTGTCTGCAGCTGTGTGTGGGAAGATGAAAGAGCTGAGAATTTAAAAAGAGGAGGCAGCAGTAGCTGGCAGCTTGTTCTTACTCATGGTGAAGGGAGGGAATGTGCATGCACAGTGTGAGGGCAGGTACTTGATGCTTCAGGTTTTCATAAAGCTGTGAAACACACTAATCCATTTATCCTCTGTGTGTGTTGGCTAATAGAGCATTAATATTTTCTTTGCTGCTCAAGTGGGAAACTGGGAAGAAATATGATGTTTTCCATTACTTAAGTGCAAGTTTAGTGGTGGAAGTCAAAACTAGAAGTTGGCTAACCTGTACACCATACTCTGTGAGCCTTGTTCAAGTATCAGTTTGTAAGAATGTCATGGCAGTAATAGTTTGCAAATTTAAGATTTTAGTCTCATTGCATGTTACATCTTACTATGATAGAGCCAATCTAAAGTATTTCCAGTGAAGTTACTTATTGATTTTTATTTTTCCTCCTGAAGTGGCTTTCTAGAAGATGACCATAGAGGATCTCCCAGAACCTTCCTTTGAAGGAGATTCCCTCATTGAAAGAGAACGATTCTTATTCCCAAACTCTGAAACATCTGTTACCTTTTCTGTTGCTGCAGCACCAATGCCTTCAGACTGTGGTATGTACTTTAAACAGAAAATGCATTTGTGATCAGCAGAGAATAAATTTGAATAATAAATTTTAAGAAAAGGTGTGAACCCTTAATTATTTCTGTCCAGAAAAAGTTTTCTTCTATTAAATGGATTATCTGTTAAATGAAATGAAAGATGAAGACCCATGCTTTTTCCATTTTTCTTACTGCATATACTAGAAATTATTTATTTTCCTTTGTACAGTTCTGTCCAAGTGTGATCAGGTTTGTACTTCTTTCACATCTCAGTGTAGAACTGGATATTGTGTCAAGATGTAACATTGGAATAAGTAAGGGAAGTTAATCTACACCACATTTAAAACCTCTAGAGTTACACTTTTTCTTGTGCTTTAGTATGTAAATGATGTACTGGAAGAGGATATTTCTGTTGGAAGTGTGTGTTTTTGTGGTGGTAAGGACTGTAAAGTGAGTGGTAGAAAATTATACCAGTGATTATATTATATCAGAAAATTATAGCAGTGGTCAGCTGTCAGAATAATATTTGTCTTCAGTAACTGTCTTCACATGTATAAATTATAATAAAATTTCTGACAGCGTATAATGTGTTAAAATGTCACTGTAGGTAAGGAGCTTCACTGATAGCTGCAATCATAATGCCCTTGAATGTTGCAGAAGATATTAATAGCATCTGCATACTTCAAAAATCACTCCTTGCACCTCTGTGTTTCCCATGCATTGATTGGAGCAATCAGCTGTGTTCAGGAAGAATAAATACCTGTAACTTTCTGTCTTTGACAGGCTCAGCATTCTCAAGACCTGATTTAAAAGTTAGCTCAGGTTGGGAATGTAAGTGTTCCATATAAAATGTTTCAGCACATGAGTGTGTCTTTACATGGTTTAGCCCTGTTCTCATCACTTGTCTTGTCTGCTTTAAGTACTGCCATGATTTATCCCATCCTACTTTCTTATCCCTTAGATAAAGTTTCCGTTTGCCTTCTTTAAGCATTGTTTTGTTGTGGTATCTTCTAATAAATCTATGATTTCACTGCTATGTATTCTACCTGGTTTCTGCCTACTCATTAAATGAAAAAAATCCTTTTATAGGAGATTGCTGTCACTGTGTAACAGTAACATTGCTGAATGTGGTTAAAGGACGTTAAACCACGGCAGAGAGAGAGTCTCAGTCTTTACATTCAGTGCATTTATTTTCATTAATGCAGCTGGGCAGTGTGATTAATACTTGGGAAAGATAGAGGGTGAGAAAGTAATATTTTGAGGTATCTAGATGCCATTGGCATCCTTTCATGGGATTCATTGCTTTAACAGATTCTCTGTAGCATTGCTTTGCTTGCAAAGGCTACAGCTGATCGCTGTTAAGCTCTTAGGGTGGTTGTTATTAGTCCTTGATACAGTCTCAGATTTTCACCCTACCACGCTGATTGTAAGATTGATTTCTGGTAGATAATTTGGATCAGGTTTGTGGCTAGAAATCTTCCTGATAGAGTAAGAACTGTGAATGTTGTGCAGGATCATTAATCTTGTTGCCTAGTTGTCTATTTCATAGTTTCAGCTGTAGATCAGCTGTGGTTTATGTGGAAGGTAAGTATTAGTGGATAAATCAGTAGATGTGTGTTGATGTATTGGATGTAGGGAAGGAGCACACTTTGTGTAGTGCTGGGAGAAAAATGGTTTGGTTTTTATTTTATATGCTAGGTGCAAATAAAAATTAATGGTAAATATCAGTGAAAGTTGTCCTCTTTTTCCATTCTTGTTAAGTCAAGGTGATGGAGTTTGAGGAACTCTAAATAGCCAGGAAGAGAACTCAGTACGTGCTGTTATCTGTTAATCCAATCTAGAAGTCAGGTATGCTGTTTTTGGAGAAAGGTTGGGATGATTCACCCAGGAGTGGTTCATGCCATGTCACCCTCCCAGATAGGTGATGATGTGTGTTGCTTAACCTGTCTGTCCTGTCTGAGAGCCATGAATCTCTGATGGATGAGAACTGATTGTACATTTATCCAAAACCTGTTTAAAAGGCAACTCCCTGATGGCTGCAAGGGGGGTAAAAGTTCAGTGCTTGCCGTGGTTCATTTGCTGATGGTAGAAGACTGCTTTCAGTCCCTCTCCTCACAGCCATTGCTATCTAGATTCTTTCACAGGATTTTCCAGAGCTGGAAGAAATTCCACAGATGAAAAACAGAGGATGTGTATATAGCAGCACACACACACCTCTATGAATAATGTGACATATAGTTTTGTAACAAGGTGTTTGATGCACTTACAGTTTGGATTGCCTGAAAGAACATGAGGCTTAAAATCTTTAAAAGTAGTGTTGGCTTTTTTTTTTAGCCTGGTTTTGGTTTGGTATCTTAATTTTTGAAGGTGTTTGTCTCCTGCAGCTGCCACCAGCTGGGATTGATGCATACTGAAAATAGCAGAGGTCACAGAGTGCCTTCATGATTAGACTGTGTTTATATTTTGGTATGTTCCATGGAAATTGTGATGGAAGAAGAAGAAGGAAGATGTTTTCTCTCTGCTGTTCTTTGCCTCTGAGTTTGAAAAACTAGATGCATGTTAAATATCAAGATCTTATATAAAGACTTTTGTTTTTAACAGAGTTTTCCTTCTTCGATCCCAATGATGCAGCATGCCAAGAAATACTCTTCGACCCCAAAACATCAGTTTCTGAATTGTTTGCCATCTTAAGGCAGTGGGTTCCACAGGTCCAGCAGAATATTGATATCATTGGGAATGAGGTGAGATGCAAATGAAGATCCTTGAGTGCTCTCAATGTTAAATACTGTGTTGACAGTGAATAAAACCAGTTATTCAGAAGCAGAATTAATCATAAATGCAGTTTCTGCCTTTTAACAAGTAGTGACTGATCATGCCTTGTATTCCACAAGTTGTCAGGTTTTATTTGGAAAAAGAGAGATGATGGATAAAATGTAGTACATTTGCATGGATAGTATAAACAATGTTTCTCTCAAGGCAATTGTGTTGAGACCCTTCACCTTGGTGTTTCAGTTTCCTACTTAGCAGTAATACCAAACTCAAACCCCAAAAATATATGAAGTTACTGTTAAAGCCTGACCTTAAAGGCTATATTTCCAAGGCACAAAATGTGTTTCTAGTATTTCTATCCCACTTTCTTGTTTTTCTGTGGAAGTGCAGTAACAATAAATCCTACCATATTATAACTGTGGGCTTCTTTTTGTTGGGGTTGTGTGGGAGTGGGCTGGGTAATTGTTGAGAGATCAAAGAACAAGGGGAGAGGTTCATAAGTAATTTTCTCATGCAGTTAATTGCTTAACTTCTTAGCATGTGAAGTATATGTTAGAAGGAGCAATATAAAGATTTTTTAATCTGTAAATAATGAAGGTTAATTATAATGCTATTTATTGCATTTATATATGTTGCTCAGTTCTGCAGTTAAGAGGCTTTTCTGGCAGGCTTCTTTGTTCCTAGCCATTGCAATGAATCCAGGAGTCAGTATATCTGCAATAACTTAGGAAATAGTAGTGATGTCAGAGAGATGCCAGAGCTAAAATGTGCTTGTTTTCTGCTTGCCTGTCAGATCATTAAAAGGGGTTGCAATGTGAATGACAGAGATGGACTGACTGATATGACTCTCCTGCATTACACTTGCAAATCAGGGGCTCATGGCATTGGTGAGTTAAAAAAAAAAAGTCATTATAGATGTAAAAACCTAATTGACTCACATAAGCTTATCCCACTGACACTTACAGGATTTCTCCTTGCAGCAGATATTTTTTTTTCCTTTTGCTTGGTTTTCTCTGTTCTGGTGGCCATGAGCAAGGAAGGTGCAGAACTGCAGCTGTAGCCATGGGGAGCAAGCTGAGTTAGTGGTATGGGTATTACAGAGAGTAGTAGCAGCTTAAACAGATACTTCATGTGGCAAAGGCAGTTTCAGACTGAGGGTCAAGCTGCAAGTTTGCTATGGTTTTTGCTGCAGTTTTTTTACAGCAGAACATTTAGGTGACTGGCTGTTCTTTTTGTTTTGTTTCTTTCACCCTGTTCATGTCAGAAGAGATCAAAGTTTATTGTTTGCATGATTATGGTCATAAATACTGGAAATGAGAGCACATTTAACTCTGTTAGAACACTCTTACTAACTTTTCTATGTTTTGTTACTTTTTTGTTGACCTGAGCCCACTTTTCTTCTGAGTTTGAGAGAAGTCTGGCATAGGTCATCTTCCCTGGTGTTGGCACGTTTTTTAACATAAACTTCAACATCAAATTGTGATGTGCAATTCTTTTTCTCCTACCATGATCCTAAAACTCCTGGGTTTGCTGGGTGACGCAGTACTTACATTAGAGAAAAACAGATAGTGTTATTATACACTAGAGATTTCAGCCATTTATCATAAAGGGCAAAGATTTCTGTATCCTAATCCTAAAAAAAAAGGCATAGTAATAGTTCTGCTGTGAGCTTGAAGGGCTTAATGTATGTCTTGTTTTAAACATAACCATGTATGTGTTTTTTGAGGAAAAATAAATAAATCACTAATGCATTCTTTACAAAAATGACCCTGCAGGTGATGTTGAAACTGCTGTAAAATTTGCAACCCAGCTGATTGATTTGGGTGCTGACAGCAGCTTGCGCAGCCGCTGGACAAACATGAATGCCTTGCACTATGCTGCCTACTTTGATGTTCCAGAACTCATCAGTGTTATTTTGAAAAATGCAAAGCCAAAAGGTAGGCATTGTGACCTTTGTTTCATGCAGTTGGCCATATTTTGTAGATCCTGAGCTGATATATTGTGGTCTGTTAAGTCTGGTGTTTATTTATCCATTATACATAAATAATTTCTTAATCTTGTATTCAGCCTCATTGGTTCATTTTTCTCTAAAGTTATTTTTTAGTGCTTTACTGTACTGTTTCCATTGCTGGTTTTTAAACCTGAGCTTTGTACAAGACAATAGAAATTTCAAATAGATTGGAAAGCAAACAGGTTAATCTTAAATTATTGAGAGCTAAGGGAATGTTTGCAGAAAACCAAACATACAACTATTCTAGTAAAATCTTGTGGTTTTTAAGTTGCTTAAACATTGAGAAGTATGAAACATTGAAAACATTGAAATTTGGGGAGAAGGTTAAAGGAGTAGTGGGGATTTGGCAATATCATGTGGCAAACCTGTGACTGAGGCAATTTTGATGTGCTCGTTTTCCCATTTCTCAGCTATGTAGGTCATCCTGTTTAAGGAGCAATTTGACTTTAGTGTTTGGCATAAATAGATGACACCTTTTGGAATGATACTGTGAAGGATTGGTAGTTGGAGACCTGTTTCTACTAATGCACATGGAAGTACAGAAATGGTTCTGATCAGAACTGTTTGTTTCTAATTTGGTCAGGACAGCAAAACCAGTAAGCAACTTTATCGCTAAAATTGTACAAGTGTGAATTTATCACTAAAATTGTACAAATGTGAATTTGTTCTACTAAATATCCTTCTGATTGTGCTAGTTTGCAAAAGGATTTTTTTTTATCTAGGGACTCTGTCTTAGCAGTTTGAAAAGCTAGTAGGCTTTTGGAGTACCCAGGGCTTGCTTACCACATCTTGAATCTCCGTGGAGGTAATTGCTAAGCAGTGCTGTTGCTGGTGTCACTTGCTTAGGAGGTGACACGTGTGGGTGGATAACAAAAGACAAAATCAGACTGCACTGTAGTTAAGTCCACATCACATTTCAATAGCCTGGCTTCCATAATTTGCATCAGCAGTCTCCTTTCAGACCTTGTTGGCATTTGGTGTTCTCCTCCTGTGCAGTTCCCACAGAAGGGGTGGAACTTTGCTCAGATTTCCAAGGAAACCATTCTGGCAATTCTTGGATAAGCAGCTGATATTTTTAATCTCAGGAAATATGTAAAATTGTTTGCCCTGTGACATGGAAACAAGGGATAGTCTGAATTAATAGAACAATTTTGCTCCATACTTCATCAGCCAGTTTGCAGAGAAGGAAGAACATACGTAGAAGGTGAACATGGTTTGGATGGATCCATACTAAACTGGAGAAAAAATGGTTGTTAATATAAAAACAACTTTTCAAGACAGTGGTGTGCTGACTCTGAGACACCCATTGTGAAGCACAGGTGTTTCCTTTTGATTCACTGCTCAACTGCTTTCTTTATGACTCTGTAGTTAAAGTCTTCGTACAGATTTACTCCTCAGTTGCTACAGGAGAGAGCTAGTTTGGTCTTGGGTTTTTAGAGCTTTTAAATACAAAAATTGTATATTATTTTCCTCTAGACAGTTTGGGGGTAGTTACCAGGTAACATTTGATATTTGTCTTTCTGTCACCTCTACTATGCCCCCTTAGGTTGAAGCTGTAAGAGAACTGTTCAGAAAATCTGAGCATGAAGCTTCCAAGTCTGAGGAAGTCACAGAGTCTAACTCAAAAAACCAAACCATACATCAGTTGTTTTTCAAAATAGGAATACATGCAGCTGTTGCTGGCTCAGTAGCTGATGCTACTGACCAGTATTTCTGCAAATTGGTTCCTGTGTATGCAGAAATGTTTGGCTATATCCCATGGAAGTTTCAATGGCTGTATGCAGCTCCTCAGCTTCTAGCTGGTTTTAAACTGGTGATGTCTTCTGACCTTTGGTACATCTGCATGAGTAGCTCTCATTAGGATTGAGGCATGTGAATGCAGCCTTTTTTCATGTTTGTGTTCAATCACAGCAATTGCAAAACTGTTAAATTCTGATTGCAAATTTGTTACCTTGGATTTTTATAAAATTGAGTCAGTTTTATTAGTATGTATGAACTTAACATGTCTATACAGACATATATAACTGCATATTTTCTATATTGTTGATGTTTTATTTTTATTTAGTGTAACTATATAAGGATGTTGATGCAGTTGGGATATACTTTGTTTATAGCATTGTGAGAAGGGCTAGTGTTTGTTTTTTGGGATGGAGACTGATACTGGAAAATATGAGAAGACTCTTCAGCCCTGAGGTGGAAAGTTTTATGTTCCTCACTGGTATTTCAAATTGGAACATGATTGCTAATACTTGTGGTGTTGTGCTTGTATATTAAATCAACTGGCATTTTTAATTAACAGTGCTATACCTAACTGACTCAAAATGACATCTCTAATGTGTAATTTAAGAGAGGAGCCTCAGATTAAACAGACATTTAAACTCCAATCTTCTAGAACAGTAATAACTTCATAGCAGATTGAAAGATATATTGGGAGCAACTGATGGAAATATATATTGTGCTAAATCACTTCCAGTCAGATGCAGTTCTCCATTTTCCAGACTATCAGTGTGAGACCCTTCAGAGTGCAATTCTTTGAAAACAAAGAAATTATAACAATCACCAGCTCTTACTTCATTCTTGGCCATTAGTAATTAAATCAGTGTAAAGCAAATGTATAATCAGTTTTCCCTTGCCGTACTGCCTGCTCACAAAGGAAAACAACTGGTTGAAGATGCATCTCATTTTCATGTTTGACACACAGAAGCAATAAAATATAAATGTGTCTGAAACATTAAAAAATTAATTTACTTGCAAACCTGAAGTTAGTCACTTGTTAATCTTGGCACAGTAGATTGGGCACCCTGAGTAGCAGCAATTTTGCAGTTAAACCATCAGTATTAAAAAATGAGGGAAAGTACATGCTCATCTTCCAGGTTGGTTCGTGGTGTGAATAAACAGATGCAAATAAGGTTGATATCCATGTAGAATTACTTCTTATATGCATTTGGTACATAAATAATGGTGTGTCTGTGTAAATGCTAGCATAAACTGTAAAAATGAATGTCCTCTCAAGGAATCTGTAGGGGGAAATGTTCATGTAACAGACTTGCATACCTCACATGTGATGTTTAATTGCAGATGTGGATGCCACCTGTAGTGATTTTGATTTTGGAACAGCTTTGCATATTGCTGCATTTAACCTATGCACAGGAGCTGTCAAGTGTTTACTGGAACACGGAGCAAATCCTGCCTTTAGGGTAAGGAGTTAGGTTGTAGATTTACCAGAAGGTGAAAAAGGTACCTGGAAATAATGAACAGTCTGTCCAGGATTCTGACTAGCTGAAAATGTGCTACATGGAGTGAGAGTGCCTCAGAAAAAGATATTTGCAACTCATAGTGGTTGATTCTGTATGCTTTGTCCTACTTGTGTGTTGAAGTTTGCATTTTTGTGTCATGGTCTGGTTCATTAGTTCAAATAACTTTCAAGAGGTTTTTCTGTTTGTTGTTTGAGCTTTCATTTATTAATACTCATGGGTGTCTCACATCAGCTGAGTCCCCATGGCAGTGGGGGATCTTTTCAGAAATGGAGGAGTGCAATCCTTGCCCTCCAGAAATGCAGTGCTGAGCTTAGCAGTGAGCCTGATGTTAGCATGAGTAACTGAGAATGCATAAACATCACCTGCTCTCCTCAGTAACCTAATAGTAGGCATAGGTTAGAGTGCAGAGTGTTGCTAATATGTGTCTAATATTGGGTTGCTGCCACAGTCTTGGGTTTTGATTGAGTTTTGTGTTTGATTTGGGTGTTTGGGGTTTTTTTGTTGTTTGTGTTTTTGGGGGGAGGGCTTGGAAGGTTTTCTTGTTTTAACAAAACCAGTATCTCAGTTCTCCATTTTCAAATGAAGGGGTTTATTTTAAATGAGAAATCATAATTGTTTTAAGGGTACTCAAAAGTCATTATTTCATGTGGCACTATTGCTGTGAAATCTTCTGGAACATTATTGTCCATACAGTTCTTCATGATATTCAATCTAGATCTCTTAGAAAATGGTGGGTTTCATTTTGTCTCTCTATTCAGTGTGCATGAATGTGTCTCAAGTTCTCTGGCAGCTGTTGTGTTTGGGAGTCTGTTGTCACAGGCAGTGCTGCTTTGTAGTTGCACAAGCTTTCTGAGCTGCCAGGGGTGGCTGTGCCCTTGAGAAGGGAAATCCTGAGCTTCCCCTGAGCTTCCACCTTGCTTTCCTTCCATTGCTCTGCCCCTGTTTTGTGTTTGCAGGGCACCTGGTGGGCTAAACTGTAGGGCTGATGTGACCAAAATAATCTCTAATGCCATGACTGCAAGCTCAAACTCCCCACCCAACTTTAACCCAGCTATTTCCTGTTTTTAAGGTAGTGTGATTTTTTCTTACGGAGTGATGGGGAATTTTTAAGGAATGGTAGGTGTTGAATTGCTCAAACCTGCAATAAAGTTTTGACTAGAGACAGTGGGTAGAGTTGGATTATTTGGGAACAGCAGTGTAAATTCTGAGTAAGGATTATACTTTTCTAGCTTTGAGATGGATTGAGAGGGGGCTCAGGAAACATTGAACTTCTAGTCTTGTTTTGAAGGGACCAAAACAAGTACAATCTTAGTGTGTATCATTCCTGCTGGTAATGTCTGAGTCCAGGGGCTCAGTTGAGACAAATTTGGAAGACTGAGATGATTATTTTGCTGCAAACATTGTGAAAATGGGCAGACAGCCACAGCTCCACACCAATGGCTTTGCTAAAGAGTGTAGGTAGGACTGTCCCTGGAGCAGCCTGACAGTACCTGCTCTCTGGGCAGCTGCCTGGAGGTGAGGGTAACTCCAGGGGAGCTGGTGCTACAGCAACTTGTCCTGTCACACAGGACATGCAGGGAGTCACAGTCACAGCTCTCTGGGACCAGGATGTGTTTGGAAAGGACTCTGCCCTTCCTCTCATAGGATCTGATATCCATCTCTCGTAGGATAGTCTGTGCCTAGATAAACCTGCACAGATTTATTCAGGTGCTCGTGTGAGCCATCACATTTGCATATTCTATACATGCAACATACATTAATCAAATTCCCTCCTACATTTGAAATAAGCCTCCCCAGGGAGGAAGCTATATGCTGGGTAAAGATGGATTCTTTGGGAGGAGTTGACATTTTGGTGTTGGCATTACAGACCAGAAATCTGCTTTGCTTTCCTAACTCTGTGTTCAGGTACACAGATAGACACAAGTGTCTTGTTTGAGATGTTCTGAGTCCTAATAATGTTGTTAAATTTGAAAATGTTGGTTACTTGTCAGTTTCAAAAATGAGATGCTGTACATGCTAGGATGTTTTGGTATCCTTATTTGAAAATGTGGATTTTTTCATAGTTGCTTATATTCTAGGAAAAAGATCTAATAAAGAGGATTAAACAGTTTGTGAAACACTGTGGTTTCACCTGGTCAGATTTATCTTGTAACAACATTAAATCCTGTGCTGTGTTATGTTTCTACAGAATGACAAAGGGCAGATTCCAGCAGATGTGGTTCCTGATCCAGTGGATATGCCACTGGAAATGGCAGATGCAGCAGCCAGTGCAAAGGAGATCAAGCAGATCCTGCTGGATGCAGTGCCTCTCTCGTGTGACATCTCCAAAGCCATGATTCCAACCTATGACCATGTCACAGGCAGGGCCATGCTTTTGTCACTTGGCCTGAAGCTGGGAGATCGTGTTGTTATTGCAGGACAGAAGGTATGGCCACCAGCCTGGCACTGCTCTCATAATTCCTGGGGAGTCCATTTCTTACCACTTTGGAGACATACCTCAGTTTGAGGGTCTGAAATGCTTTCTGGAAGCTAGCTGTGATCTCTGAATGGCAGCAAGGAACTGGTTAGGGAAAGTAATAAGCTGAGGAGTTGTGTGATAAAGTCGTTATTATGAAAAACAGTTTTGACAGGCAGAGGCTGCATATTGTGTCTTTAAATGATTTTTAACAGTCTCCTATAGCATGGCTCAGCTCTTATTAACTTTTTTGGTGTCACATCAAAGGGATGGTAAAGTTGGCAAATTACTTTGTGAGTTGCCCAGCTTTGTTAGGAGTGTGCATTTGTGAAGTACTCCTGATAGTTTCCAGAAGGCAGGGAAAAAACCCTTCAGTTCTGCTTAGCCCATAGTAACCCAATTTCACTGGTGCAATGCAGCTAAAATCTTTGAAGCAGTGCTGTGCCAACAGGGTTGTTACATGGTTCTCTGGAAGTATAAGGGTGTAGCTTATAGAGGTCCAGCTCAAATGTGAATAGCTCTTTAGAAGGTACCATGATAGCCACCTTTCTAAAACATTTTAAAACTGTAGCATTAATATTGCATTCAGTATTCAGACTTTTTATTTGCTGTGATAGCAAGGGATCTAAGTGCTAGAACTCTTTCAGAGAAGTACTTTTTTCCTGGTAAATGCTGAAAGCATTTTTGAGCAAAATTTTATATTTGAATAGCTTTCACATTAATAGCTTTCCTAATATAACTTCAGATTTGTAGCTGTCACAACCAAAAGATTCTAAAGTGATCTCCAGCAAGAGTGTGAAGCAGCTCCCATTGTGTATTTTAATTTACTGTAGTCTTGAAATTGGGTCAGGGAAAGCAAAGGAATCACTAGCTATGCAGAAGGCATTTTAACTGAAGTATGTACAGAAAGCCACTTATTCTTTAAAGACAGAAGTTTTTTTTATCAGAAATCACAGTGGCAGCAAGAAGAGATAATGTAAGTGCAAGTTAATGGAGGCTTTAGAGCAAGAAAGTGATGAAATTGGTGCTCTTGTGTAAGGCCCACAGAACAGTTTGTGCTGTAATGTGCTCACTGTGCACGGACAGAGCTGCCTGGGTTTTTTTGCTTTTATTCTTCTAATTGATTATGCTGTTGCAGTGTTTTTTAAGGAGTTGTTAGAAGCTGGTTTTGTGCTGCCAAAAGCCAACAGGGCTTTACAGCTAGGTTGTTTTTCTTCAAGGGAGCCAAATCTGTTCTAGAGCAGGTGGGAAGAAGGAATGTGATTGTGCTTTTTGAACTTCCATTTCCACAGCAGCTTTCCTCCCTTCCTTCCTTTGTGTGCAAGGAGCTGTTGTGCAGTACTCCCACATTGCTTCCCACCCCTTTTCTCCTTTTGCCTGAATGGAGAAGTTGTTCTCAGCCCTGCCTTCCCCTCCCCCTTGATACTCCTAAATTCCTGCAGGGTGGAGCAAAAGTGAAAACAGGATGAGTAAAATAGGGCCCTGTTTTTAACCTTCTCCTGGGTCAGTTCTCATTCTGTGTCTTAGTTTGGAAAGACAGGTGTCTGCTAAGGAAGGCAGGAGCCTCCCCTGAAATGGAAAATGTAAACCCCCTTCCTCTGAATTGCTATAAATTTTAAGTACAGGGGCTCTTGGGCAAAAATGTGGGAGCAGGAATAACAGTTCTTTATTAGGGAAGAAAATAAAAAGACAAAATAAACAATGCAGTAAACAAAAACAACACTGACAGAGTCAGAATATGACCTGGTGTTGGTGGCAGTCCAGTTGAAATTGTGGCTGCAATCCTCCTGGAGTGTCAGGTGTGGCTCTACTGGAGCAGGGATCCTGTAGAGAAGGATGTATTCTTCCTCTGAAGATCCAGAGGAAGAGGCAGCTGCTGTTGCTCTGGGGAGTCCAGTGGAGAAGCTGTGCTGGTGTTCCAGAATCTCCAGATTATACCCAGGTAGCAATGCTTGGCTCCTCCCTCTGGGTGAGGCATCTCCCAATGGGATGCTGTAGCTCTTATCAGTCATGCAGTGACATTCAGTAGTCTGTTATCAGCAGATGTCTCCCTGGAGGGAGGGGTGGTTGTGGAAGAGATAAGGAAGACTGCCCACTTAACAGAAGACAGCTGCCATATAGATGGCAAATAGAATACCATTTGCCTTCCCCTCCCCCTTAATACTCCTGAATTCCTGCAGGGTGGAGCAAAAGTGAAAACAGGATGAGTAAAATGGTGCCCTGTTTTTAACCTTCTCCTGGATCAGTTCTCATTCTGGAATATGGAGGCTGGCACGAGGGCACTTGGAACAGCAGCAGTTTTGGAGCTATATTTACGGGTTCCTGTTGTCTTTGCTGCTTCTGCAGCCTCCTAACATGTCAGCTTTAATGAAGCTTGAAAGCCAAGCACAGTAGATGCCAGAGGGAGAATGGATTCCTCTCCTGACTCCTGCTGTGTCTGTCATTGTGGTTGTCCTGCAGGGTAGGAGTCTGTGTAAGCAGGTGTTCATGTGTACGTGATTGGGGGCCCCACAGCTCCACCAGCTCCTGCTCTGCCAGGCTGAGTGTCCTTTTGGATCACATCTGGTGAAATGGGAGATCAGCAGCTGGGAGAAAACCACCCCTGCTGTGTCTCATGCAAGAGAGATCCCCTGCTCCTTGCTTGCACAGGTCCTTGGGCAGAATTGGAGCTGCAGTTTTGCATCTCCCACCTCCGGTTTAAGATGCTGGCTGTTCTCCTCTCTGCCTAGTAAATGCCCTTTGGCTCTTTGTGCCTGGAAAGCAAGTGGAGGAGTTGTAGGAATCTGTGGGGCTGCTTGGCTGAACTTCCCCTGGACGAATTTGATCCCTGTGTCAGTAGCTAAAAGGTCTCAGTCTAGATTAGTGTGACATACCTGCCTATAACAGTCAAGTTTAAGGAGATCCTCAGCATAAAAGAAGAGGCTCTGGGTTGTGTTTATTTCTTTACAGACATTAGGAAAGAGTACCTCGAAGGTTTTGTTGTTAAAAAAAAATTGTTTCTATCTGTTTACTCTCTGAGGCTTGGATTAAACAGTGGAGTCATAGTGTAAAATGAACTAACATTGAAGTCACATGAGATGAGGAAAACAGAGCAACTGAAAGATCAAAGTTTTTTATTACTAAAACTAATTTAAAAATCAAATATAAAAATTAATTTAAATCAATGTTAAATGCAACTCTTGTAGTTATTCCTTCCCTGTTTGGTTGAAGTGTGTGAACTTATAATGTATATTTATGGAGAATGAGGTTTACCAGCAGGACTGGTCTGTCTTGATATTCTTCATACGCTTATCTGTTCAGTTTATAGTATTTATTGAAGCAACAGCAAATGTTTAAAACATTTTAAATGTTTAAAACATTTGCTGGCTTTTAAAATTTTATTTAATCATAAGGAGGGAATCTTTATGAATCTTCTCCAAAGAAAAAATTATGCTCTGAAGTTTACCCTTGAACCTTTGCTATATATATATATATCTAAAAATATATATGCTTGTGTGTATTTATGCACACACAGATTTGTCTAATATTTCTATGGAACTTTCAGTTCAGGAAGATACCTAGCCCTGATTCTGGAATTATTCTTGGATAAACAGTGCAAGTGAAACCTCTTACTGGGCATGGGCTTGCTAACCTAGAGCTGTGTTTACAGTGGTTCTTACTGTCTAATTCTTGTCTGTTGTGGCATCTGTCCATAATGTTTAATGCAAAATGCACACAGAAGGAATAAGACCTTTTGGAAAATGTATTGAGTGGTGTTGAAAGGTAGGAATGTGTACAAGTGAGGGAAATGATGTTTGCATTTTTGTGGTGACTTGTCTTGTGTTTTGGAGATGACTTGCTGTCTCTTTCATAACCAATAGTATTTTCTCATGAACAATACTTGTCTAACAAACCCATTCTGTGTTGATGCTTTCTCTCTTAGGTTGGTACCTTAAGATTTTGTGGCACAACAGAATTTGCTAGTGGCCAGTGGGCTGGTGTAGAGCTGGATGAACCTGAAGGGAAGAACAATGGAAGTGTTGGAAAAGTCCAGTACTTCAAGTGTGCACCAAAACGCGGTATAGCCTTTATTTTATTTTTTTTCTTCAATTTTTAAACCTCCAAATTTAAAGAGTACTGGAAGGTTTGAGCTGTTTGGGAGGATAAAAACCAGATTCTGTTGCTTTTCTTTGTAGTGCTTTGTTTGATTTATTGGTTCTTTAGCTGGTCCTGAAGTTTTGGCTGCAGCTATTTGCAAAATGACTGAAACAACCAACCAGTCAAAATTTCTGATTCTTTCCTTGAAACTGTGAGATTTCCTGGTTTTTCATTGATATTGTTGAAAGGACTTGTTTGTACTGTAACAATAATAGCCATGTTTCTTTACCTGCTTTGTCTTCCTTGGTCAGACATTCCTGCTTGTAGTTGTTTTCTAACGTGGAGCTTGAGGTATTTTTAGTGAGATGCTGTGGTCACACAGGGCATACAAAGATGAGTTTTGTAGCAGTGGAGACTGAATGTTACTGTTAGGATAAAAAGGAGATTCTAATTGATAGTCTGAGTGTTTCCAACTACTCTGTTCGAGTTGCTTGATAAGGATTTTGATTTCACTGTTCTCTTGAGCTTGTCCTTCCTACCCTGCAAGTGCTTTGTCAGCATAGCAAGTTATGATGGTGGCTATAAAAAACACTGAATTAATTGATGTGAGAGAGACTAGCTGCAAATTTTCATTACTTTACCATTATCTATGGTTCTTTGTTGGCACATACAATTTTCTCTCCAGGTATCTTTGCACCCCTTTCCAAAATTAGCAAGGCTTCTGATCACAAGAAAAGCTCCGTACGAAGCTCTTCCACACGCTCTTCACCTTTGGTCAAATCCAAGAAAGTAGATGTGACACATATAACTTCCAAAGTGAATTCTGGTGAGTATTTTCTTGCATGTTGACATGGGATGGAGAAATGCTAATCTTCAAGAATTAGTAAATCTTGGTATTAAAATTTTTGTTTGGAGTTAGTTCATAGCCTGGGATGAGGTGATAAGGTATTCATTAACTCCATGTTGTCCTGGTTGGAAGTTCACTGGCCTGTGGAGTGATGCTGGAAGGACGTTGTGTGGAGCTGTGATTACAGTGTCTGATGTACTGTGACAGTTTCTACTCTTTACATGCTCTCTATAGAGAACCTCTCACCACAACATTCATTCTTGAGCCATTAAAGTAATTTCTAATTGGCTGTGGTAACAATTAAGTGTCTCAACCTAATGAGGCTCTATTCACTAAGATATTCCTGGAGAATTTGCAAGGAATAAAAATCTAGTAAGTAATCTATACACCTTTATGCCTAGAAATTGAAGAGATTTATTTTCTTTCTATAAAGAAACTATTTAACTCATTGTGTTTTATCTGCTTATTAAATTATCTGAATAAAACCAGTGCCAAATTAGAAGAGAGAGGTTGTCCTTGTAATAAGGCCTCAGTCTGCTGATTGGAGTTATGGGCTCAGTCTCTGGCTCTGGTTTACTTTCTTAGTAATTTGCTCAAATTACTTAATCCTTCTGTGTAAGTTCCCTCCCTGTGGAGTGAGTGATCCATGTTTTCTGACTGTTCAGGTTCCAAGTTGTTTGGAGAACAGGCTCTTCCCTGCTGTGTGCAGTGCTGGCCATGCATAATCTGGCCCCCCGTGTTTGGCTGCCTATGTAATCATGTCAGTAAATATTTCATTGGCATTTCTTCTGCCTTTGAGCCCTGTTCAGGTGACTCACACTAAGGCAGCACAGCTTAAGGGATGGAAGATAACACACATTCCCATTGAATTTACCCAAGCACCCTAAAACACTGCACACTTCACCTGAAATATGCAGGGTATAGAAGCAAGCAGCAGGCTGGTGCCAGGAAAAGATGCATTTTGACAGCTTTTTGGATGACTTATGTAACTTTTCTCTGCATAGATTGAGGGGGGAGTACGTGTCTGTATTTACAATTAGCACAAGATACAAGCTATTTATAAATGGGCATCTTGCATAAAAAGCTTCTTGGCATAAGCAGTTTGTTAGGAGTATTGCTCAGGAGCAGATCCAAGCTGCCTTCTTCTGTTAAATATTTTCCAGTGTTTGATTCACTTTGCTGTGAACTGTTTGTAACCCATTAAACTAAAATGGGAGGGACTTTTCCTTTGTCACTGACCTAGTTCAGTCATAACCCACCTTTTCTGTCCCAGAGGTGCAGTTGTGTCTTTGTAAAATTTAAACATTTGATACCTTGCTTTAGGGTAGAAATCAGAGTGAGTTAAGCATCATCTGCCCAGGAGAGCTTACATCCATTGGCTGTGAGTGTCTGGAAGCTGCTGTGTGCAGGGAACACAGCACAGAATTCCATGGCAATTAACATGCCTGGCTGAGTGGCTGGCAGCACTGGGGCAAGGACAGAGTTGCAGAGGCAGAACTTGGGTTTGCAGTGTTCATGTGCATCACCAGGTCACATTTCTTTCCTTTAAACTTCCTCCCTGGAATACATTGGTTTATAATGATTCAACAAAAATAATTATGGTTTTTGTAGGTAAGGTTATATGCTGCAAAGTAAAATATACTTATAATACTGTATAGGGGTTTTGAAATTTTATTTGGTTCTACTGGGTTTGAATAATCCATCAGATTGATGAGAAAAGATCTTTTTCAGTTTGTAGGAAAAGGATTACAGAGATAAAGTTAAGAAATGTGCTTTCAGTCACAAACAACTAGTTTTTTGATCTGATGCCTTAATGGCCATAAAAATTTGGGAAATACTATATATTCACAAACTAGTTCAGTCCCTGTGGCTGAATTAAGCTGAGAGATGTAGTTAAATAAAACAGATGTGATTTTTCTTTCATGACAGGGAGGGGATAAATCATAGATAAGCTTGTTCTTCATTGAATTAGGGTTGGAAACTGTCAGAAATGTAAAATAACTGTTTGCAAATTATAACTTAGGTGAGAGTATGAGTTTCTACACATATCACAACATTGCTGCTCTGAGAGTTAGGCTCTTCAAAATCATACTGGCATGCTTACATCATTATTTGTAGTCTGAATGAAGATTGGATCTCAAATCTCACTCAAAACCTTGATGTGTAATCTTTAAAACAGAAATTATGAAATTATTGCTGGTGAATAGTAGACCTTAAGTCTATTAAAGTGAATGTTATAGATATGAATGTTTGAAAGATTTAAATAAAATTCCTTCAATATAAAATCAGTATTTTATAAACCATTTGTTTATTGTTTGGCAAGATAGTTTGGACTGGTTTAATACGTTAAGGGATTTTATGTCTGTGCTTATCCATCAGAACAATTCTGCACTCCTCATTTTACCCATTTATCCGGTGTCTAAGGAATTGTACAGTTTTATAAATTTTTTCATGCATCCAGTAATCTTCAAATCTGCATAATCTGCAAAAATTGTTTTTATGTGACTTTCTGTAAAATTATTGTTTCTTGTTAGGATGTGTATATTTAATTGTATGTATTCTTTTTATAGGCTTAAATATTACAAAAAGAGACAGTGCTTCTGAAAACAACTTTCTGACTGCTAACAGGGGAAAAACTGTACCTGCAAAAGATGGTAATGAAATAATTTTAAATTTTTTTTTAACATATTAAGAAAAATTCTTTGTGTGGTAGAAGCAGTATTATTGCTGCCCTACCTCTGTAAAAGCCCTGTATCTTCACTGTAGAAAAAAGCTGCCATTCTTGTTTAATTCAAGTCTCAAGCAAGTCTCAATTTGGTTTTCTAGGAGCAAAGTAATTTGTGTGGATGCTTGGCTGGTGTTCTGTGTTGGTTTGGTAACCACCTCTGTCTGAACACTTGGGCAGGAACATAGAAGAGTCCTTAAAGCTGACTCTTAGTAAATGATCTTGCAGAGGATCTGCAGAATTACCAGCTGAGGTTTTTGAGGGAGACCTTTACCATGTGTTGTTGCTGCCTAGATTTTAATATTCTGTTGTCTTTTTTTCCTCTTCTCTATCTGTCTGTTCATGCTTCTGTAATAAAGTGTTACCATCTGACAGTGCTTAACAGCCTTGGTGTTGTGTCATGGCAGAATCACAAGAACAGGCTTCAAATGTGAAAAGTGAAACCTGCTTTTAAAGAGTGCCTTTTGCATGTGAATCATTCTCTGCAATTGTCTAGTTTCTTAATTGGATAACTTCTACCACAGCAGTACTTTGCTGAACTTGAAACACAAAGGGACCTCATTTTCAGCTGTCTTGAGCAAACAAAACCCTTCAAGGTTTTTTCTATAAAATCATACTGTAAGTGTTGGTAAAAGCAGTGTTTCTTTGGAATAATTTGAAGTGTGAATTTGAATATTCCTCCTTTAAGGCACAGAATCACAGAATAGTTTGACTTGGAAGGTACCTTAAAGATCATCAAGGGTCATTAAATATCATCACCCAGCTTGTCTGGATAGCCTGTTCCAGTGTCTCCCACCCTCACAGGAAAGAATTTCTTCCTAATATCTGATCTAAGCCTCCTTTCTGTCAGTCTGAAGCCTCTACCCCTTGTCCTGTCACTGCTTCCATCCATGAACAGTCTGTCCATCTGTCTTGGAGGCCCCCTCAGGCACTGAAAAGCCACAGTGAGATTTCTCTGGGGCTGCCAACCCCAGCTCTCTCAGCCTTTCCACATAGAAGAGGTGCTCCATCCCTCTAAACATCTCCATGTCCTCCTTTGGACTTGCTCCAGCAGATCTGTGAAGGAAGCATCTTTTTATAGCTTCTGTGAGTGAACAGTTGTGAATTCAGAAAAGACCAACTGGATTTATAAAACATGAGTTAGGAGTAAAGACTTGAAATTTGTGATTGTGTGATTAAAAAGCCAGAAGATGAGAGGCTGGAAATAAAACTGGAAGCTTTGGAATGCAAGGGTTGGTATAACCCACTCTGCATAGGGAGTAAAAAAAACTTGATTTAAACTGCTGGTGATTGAGGTTTTGTATTTGGGGCGCAAAACCCTATAACACTAGGGATAATTATGTGGTGAGATACACTCCTGAGGAAGTCTTGAGATTTCCCTGATGGAAAGTTTTTAAGAACCGGCCAAATACTCACCTGTCAGGAGTGTTGCAACACATAATTGTTTCACCTGAAGGAAAAGGAATCAGTTATATGGTCTGATGAAGTCCTTTCTGCTCTTCCTTCTCCCACGCTGTGATTTCCCACAGAATGAAGTATTTTGATGACAGGTTTAGTTGGAGCAGTTCTTGTTGCATCCCTGTAAAAATGGTGGTCTGACCTCCAGTGAATCCTTTTAAATAAGTACATGTAATGTGTGTCTGCAAATGTGCATGTATATTGGACATGGAGCTGAAGTTTGCCTGTTCAGTCACTATTTAGTCAGTAATTTGCATTTTCTTTATTGGTGCCTAACTGCAGTGAGTATCTCAGAGTCTTCAGATTTCTGTCCTCAGCTTTTGTTTGGACCCACTGCCTTTGCCTTTCCTCGGTTCTTCCTCACTGTTTTGCAAAATTGGAGAAATAAATTGCATTGAACAAATGAACCCTGTGTTGATATCAAGCTGTTTGCCAAAACTAATGGTTGAAGCTTCTCAAAAGTCTGGAAATTTTGATAAGCAATATTATCTTAATTTTTCACATTGATAAGCTGAACCATAGATGTGTCTTGCTGTACCCCCTGCCTCATTTTGGGCAGAAGGGGTTAAGAAAGGGAATAAGAGGAAGAATCTTGAAAAGGAAGCAGGAAAGATGAACATAAGTCTTATTGGACAGTTTAGACTTTAGGATTTGCAAATGGAAATAAAAGTGATTTATTTCCCATTCTTGTTTTATAGTACAGATTTTAATATTAATACAGTATGTAATGGAATATAGTAGGCTTTAATCCAGGCAATAATTCACTCACATAATATCACCTTCCTTCCACTTCTCATCAAATCTTTAGTAGGCTGGATGCTGAAAGGCTGGTGGTATGATCTCTTATTACTAAAGCTCATATATTTTAATAAATATGCTTGGGACTGTTTAGATGAACTTTCATAGAATAATAAAGATGGGCTTTTGGAGACCTCTTCTAGCATCAGCTATCACCACATTCCCAAGGCAAGGTCATGTGCACCCATGTCATTCCTGACACTTGTTTGTGCCAACACTGCATAACAAGTTCTGACTTTGGCTCTTCACTTTGTATTCTGTGGTCCATGGAGAGCAGATAACTTCCATGTTACAGAAGCTCTCCCTTCTGCTTAATCTGTCCTTTTCCAAATTATAATCCCTGAAGGACAACTTTAATTGATGTCTTTAGGTTTTCCTGGGTACAGCAGCTCTTCCTCTTCTACTGCCTCCTTGGAAGGCAAAAGGAATTACTCCAAGAAGAGGAACTCAACGAGCAGCAGTAAAAAGGCCCTGACCAGAGTGTCTTCTGCCTCGTCTAAGACTAGTGCTGGTATGGTCTGTTGCACTGAGGTGTATTTTCACAGGGGGAGTTCACTGCTCTGTTAAGTACTTACGTAGAACTGCTGTTGTTGTTTCAGAATCTAGATGGTTTGAGAAAGACACTTGTGAAGTAGTTTAACCATAAACCTAAGTTTGGCAACTTTTAGAAAGATTTTTGTAATGTCTTCAAGATGCAAAGTGTTTTTACAGTTGGCCAATGTCCCTTTTCAGAGCAGAGAAAAGGCTGTAGTTCAGTTTTTCTGCTGCACAAAGCAAGTTTTTGTCTAAGCAAAATTTGTGTTGCCATGTGTGGAAAGTGCACTGTGTTAAATACTCTGTTCACTAATCAGTTGGCTTGCTATTGAAAACTTTCTCAAAGATTTTATCTCACTGATTTCAGATCTTGTTCTTCTCTTGTCCAGGGCTGTATAGTTCCCCAACCACGAGGAAAAATGCTCTTGATGGAGAAATCCAGGTTGGAGACAGAGTACTGGTGGTGGGACAGAGAACAGGCACTGTTAGATTTTGTGGGACAACAAAATTTGCACCAGGTATGTGCAGTGCTCTGTGTATGTTGCCAAATCAGCATGGAATAGCTTACATGTGAGCACTGAATGGAAACCCTCATCTTTTCCCTCACTCTTTCCAAAAGAATTCTAAATTTAAATTGATTTGTTTACAAGTTTGCTCTTTCTCTCTCTCTCTCTTCCCCTCTCCCTCTTATGTTTCACTGAATATGTTTTTTACTTTAATGCAACTTTCAGGAAAAAATAATGGTTTAAAATGTGACTTTTATTTGTCCACTTTTCCTAGGAGAGCTACTTTGATGTTGAAGTTGTAGATATTACAGAATCACAGAATATTCTGGGTTAGAAGGGACCCACAAGGACTACAGAGTCCAGTTTCTTAACAAAGCTTTCTGAAAATCCTCAGTTTAGTCTCCAAAGGGGTATATAGTTTATTGAGCTCACATTCATTTACTCCTTAGTTTTTGTATTAAGGCTTTTTGACACAGCTTGACTCTTGCAGTAGTGGCACTCTTTGCCATGTACCAGTCTCATTTCTTAACTTATTGGCATCTTTAAGAGGGTAATTGTGAACATTAAAATTTTAACTAACAAACCTTTAGGTCACAAGATTAATAAAACTGCAAATACCTCAAGAAGCCTCAACCCCTACCACCATTTTCTCATTCTTCTCCCTTTCAGCTTCTCCCTTTCCCTTGCTAAAAAACACTTTGCAGCGAAGCTAAGTGCTGTCAAAGGCAGCCAGTTGTTCTGCATTGTGGAAATTAATTTTGAATCTAATATTGTAACCAAATTTTTCTTCTCTATGGCCCTATCTATAATCTTTCTGCAAGAGTAATGCAGAAGCACTGGTCAGTGTTGGTGTGAGCACCTGCTCTGGCTGAGGGCTGTGTCATTGGTGGCTGACTGGCAATGCTCTGTGGTGACACTGGGTGGCATCAGCATTTAAAAAACCCCGTCAGGATGCAAGGCCGTGTACAGGCTCGGTGTTGTTTCATCCCTGCCCCGTTCCAGTTTCACTGTGGGCAGCCTTGCTCAGGTACTGCAGTGCCCTGAGGGACACTTCAATGTCACTGCTCTTTGTGTTGCTGCTGAGGAAGTGATCAGGGACAAAAGGGCTGTTTCCCACATACACTGACACCTCTGAAATCTGAAAGCTGTTTGACAATGTGAAGTCTCCTCCCTCTCTGCTTTAAATCAGGAACATAATTTTTTGGAGGAAAACACGCTATTGTAAGAAGTGAGGATGGAAAGATGACAAATCATCACCATTTGCTAACCCAGTAATTTATAGAAGATGTAGCAGATGCATGTTTAAGTATTTCAGTTCTAATGTGTATCAAAGCTCTGGAACTTATCCAAGGTGTGTTCCTCCTGGTGCAATGCAGATCTTTATTTAATTCTAAAAGTGGGAAGGGGAGAACTTCTGATATACTGAGCCCTTCTAATTCATAAGCTGTCATTCTTGAGTTTCTTGAGCTGATAATTAGAATTACGGTTTTATCCAGTGCCTTAGCACCAAGTGACTGGAATTAAATTCTGAATCTTCTGGGGATGGATAGCATAAGGACTACTAATGGAGTATGAAATTTAGCACCTTTGTGTAATTAGCTCACATTTATCACAGGTTATGAATGATCAAGCTCATTAACATCTTGCTGCCTATTCAGTGTTCTGTATGGGATTAATTGATGGCCAGTTCCAATTTTTGCACCCTTCTCTTGATATCACACAACCAGCCTTGCAATTTGTATTAATTATAACTTGCCAGAAAGAGGGAAAGAATATAAAAACTTTGATTTTACTGTTGATGATCTCAGATGAGGCATAAACCATGTGGTCAGAGGAATGAAGAGGGAAATGTGAAACAGCAGTGCTGCTCTTTGCTGTCTCCTTGTTGTCCAGTAGCCAGTTATGGCCAGTAACATTCTATTTTACTTTAGTATGTATATGCATATACATATTCCTCAAATGTTTTAACTGTTTTGTATTAATTAAAATGTCAATAATTTTATTGAAAGCATATAAAAATGCTGAGAAAATTAGATCTGTTAGGTTACAATTTTTACATAATTGCATAGATAGCTATTTTTTAATATTCCTATTTACTGTTAGCATCTTTATATTTTCTGACTAGAAACTGTTATCCTTGATGTGTGTGAATGCCAACTGTGGCAGTGGTCTAGATGAAGCAAAGCCTGTCGTGTTTTGTTCCAAATGCCCTGATTTTACTGTTCTGCAATGTAGGGTTCTGGTGTGGGATTGAACTGGACAAGCCCCATGGGAAGAACGATGGCTCCGTGGGAGGAGTGCAGTACTTCAGCTGCCTCCCCAGATATGGCATTTTTGCACCCCCATCTCGTGTACAGAGGTGAGCACTGCAGCTCTTGTCATGTCGGGGCTGCCAAATGATTTCTTAATGCATTTTCCAACCTGGAACAAATTTTTGAACACGTACAGAAGATACAAATGTTTTCTTCTGCAAATGTAAGTTTATAACCTCCATTAAAAATCTGGTGGTTTTAGATCAGCTTTTTGAAAGCAGAGTGTAAAACTAGAGACACATCTCTCCTGTTTCTCTTGCAACTACCAGAAGTATTTTTATTCCAGGGCCTCTGATACTCTCTGTTCATTAAACCTTAGTTTCATTAATTAAACCTTAGTTTCATGACCCAATCGTGATGTGTGCTGGTAAATTCAATTATAAATGGAAGCGGCCCTTGGCCATGACTAAAAAAGGCTCTTTTTATCCGAGCTAACTGCACAGAGGATCCAAAGCCTGCACCACTTGCTGGTAGTGTCTTCCTTAGGATCCAGGAAGAACATCCAAGGAGTTCTGAACTTTCTCCTCCTGTATTTGTATGTAGTTACTCTGCCAGACATGTTCTTGCTTTTATTTCTCTGAATAAGCCTGCTCAGGCAAACTCTTAGGAACTTGCCTCAGAATCTGCCTGCTGTCTCAGTGAGTGAGGGCAAGTAACTCAAATACTCCAGGCACTTCATGCCCAGCAGCCTGAGTGCAGCAGGAATGCTGCTGTCTCTTGGGGGCAGATAGAGAAGGAAAGATTGAAAACCTCATCAATATTTGACAAGAAGCCAGTGGGTTTGTTCAGAGTTGAGTTGAAATGGCCTCTTTATTGTGTTATTGCTTTTCAGACTGACTGATTCTCTGGATTCTCTCACAGAGACTTCATGGAGTAAAGCAACTCACACTTTTCCAGGTAGGAGTGGGAGACATTTGGGTGAGGCAGGCCCTGCTCTGCAGCCTGAACCATCTGCACAAAGCCAACTTCCCCAAAAGCACAAGAGATTTTCAGGGACCCCAAATGCCAGCCAATAGTCTGGCTGCTCCCTTCCCAAAAATCTGGCCTGCAGAAGGAACTGTGCAGTACTGTATTGATCTTAACACTCCACTGGCAGAAAGAATTGTCAGTTACGATTGCTGGCTGGCAGTCTTCCCTTGCTGCTAATATTGCATTCTAATCGAGGGAAAGGGAAATGGAACCTGTTCCTCAACACAAATTGAGATTGATGAAGGGATCAGTGGGGGGGATGTGCCTATGAAATTACTAAAACTTGTGTGAGGTACTTGAAGTAGTTGGTTTTCTTTTCCTTCTTAGCGTCTCGTGAAAAGACCTTCAAATGGCCCTTGTTTGGTTTGTTTAATTTAATTTCTGTTCCTTCTGAAAAGTCAAACATATTACAGGCATATATGTTTGTGAGAAATTTCATCATTTAATTTCCAAATTAGAGGGGAGAATGTGCAGTGGAAGCAGTACAAATGTAGTGGAAGCAGTATAAAAAACCCCACAAAGAATCTGTGTTCATAAAGGTGGTTTTTTTTTTTTCCCTTAAGAAGTCCTACACAGCTTATTAATCTTTCCACTCAGGCTTTAGACGCAGTTTAAGCAGCACTTCTGCCTCTTCACAAAAGGAGATAAACAGAAGAAATGCCTTTGTTAGGTGAGTGTTAAGAGTTTCAAGTGGCTGTTAGCTTTGCTCAGAAAAACCCCTTCATGCATATAGGATATCTAGACCTTTACATGTTCTTTTTTTTTTTCAAAATGAACTAGTAGTACACTGTTTTTCCATGGGCATCCAGGAGTACAGTCCTAGAATTCAGGTTGGCATTAAAGTTGTTTTCATATTCAATCATATTCTCCAAATTCTTGTATTTTCACACAGCTGGGTGAACTTCAGAGGCTCTTGGTAAAGGACTTCACTTTGTTCTGGTGATCCTGACTGACAGTTGTATGTTAAAAGTTGTTTCAGTTAAACTGTTTTAAGCCCCAAATAAAATGTTTTGTATGGCTTAATTTACCAATACTATCACCTGCTGTAAATACTGTAGATCCTAGCACTGGGTGAAGGAAATTGGTTTTCCAATACGAGTGCAGCAGCCTGTTACTGTTATTTCATGGTTTGTTAGTTACGTGAGATCCAACCCAGTTTTTCTAGAAAGGGATTTGAGGGTGTGTTTTTTGAATTAGAGTCCCCTTGGATGTTTTATAACAAAAAAAGGGCTTGTTTGTTCCCTTCCCTTCTGGCCAGGTCCAAGAGCTCGGTGCTGCGGCGCAGCTGGAGCAGCAGCAGCAGCGGCACCGCTGCCTGCGAGGGGCCCGTGAAGCTGCACGAGGGCTCGCAGGTGCTGCTGAGCAGCTCCAACGAGATGGGCACCATCAGGTACATCGGCCCCACGGACTTTGCCCCGGGGGTGTGGCTGGGGCTGGAGCTGCGCAGCGCCAAGGGCAAGAACGACGGCTCGGTGGGGCAGAGGCGCTACTTCAGCTGCAGGCTGAACCACGGCGTGCTGGTGCGGCCCAGCAGGGTCACCTACCGCGGCATCAACGGTGCCAGGCTCGTGGATGACATCTGCTGAGCCCCACGCCCTGGGGAATGAGGGTTGCAAAGCACAGAGGAACCCCCCCTGCCTAGAATGCAAACTTGTTTTGGGATCTTTAAATCTGCATTTTGCGTTTTACATATAGAAGTGTATATGTATGTGTGTGTATATAATATATATATATTTTATATAAATATATATATATAAAACAGAGAGATAAAAAAGTGTTCAGTCATGTTAAGAAGTAGAACCACTGTTGAGTTTCTCTTACTTTAATGACCCTTGCCTGGAAGGTTATTAAAGCATCTTGGGTTTAAGATGCTGCATCATTTGAAAACCATTCCAGTTGGAGAATAGAGTGACTGCAGCGTTCTCTAAAGCTCCTGTGTGGTTCATGCAGTATTCAGAGGGTTTTTCTCCATGTAATAATGAACTGGAAATGTTTGTGCATTGCCTGCTTTTGACAGTGGAGGTGGTTGATGGGTGACATTAGCCTGATTCCTGGGCGCTTTGTCAATTCCAATACCAGCTGCTAGCAATAAGAAAGGAGGAAAAGTAAAAGCCAAACCCCCCACCCTCCCCACCCTTTTCCAAACAGTTGTGGAGTATTTTTGCATTTTACTGTTCAGATCTCCCTTCCTCTTTCCCCCTGTCCTCCTCTCCATAATACAAAAGGGCTGATAAATATAAGGATTTGCCCCTCTCCTAGTGAAGAGCAGCAATTAATAAGAAGCCTTTAAAAAGCACAAATATGCTGCATGTCAGTCTGTACAGTAACAAGCACTTTTTGTTCTGCATTTGTAGAACGAGCTACTTACAAGATGCACTCTTTAAAATAATGCACTTTGCACTCTCCTGGAGAGCTTACCCTCATTTTTAGAGATTATTTTTTTGTTTGGGGTGCTGCAGGCAATGAGTATGACAGTTGTAAAATGCAAATAAACCCAGAGTGGAATACATAATTCCCTTATCATAAATATCAAGTCTGTATAAATACAGCAAGGTAATTCCTGCCAATGGTATGGAACAGATACAGAGTTTTCAAGCAAGCTGTTGCCATTTTTGATTAGTTTGTGACACTGATTCTTTTTGTTTGCTTTGGAACAGTTTCCAGTATAAATTTTTTGTGAGATCTTATGATGACTTAAGGATAATTTTAGGTACAGCACTGTAATGGGCCTTTATGTGACATCATTTGTGTATCAGCCTTTTAGAACAGCTAATTTTTTTGTCCATATTTTAAACATAGAATGTATTTTAATTGCTCAGCATATGTAAACATTACCTGAACTGGATGGGTTTGTGTTCCAGAACAGTCATTTTACTCTTAAATTATTTGCTTGCTCTTGCCTACTTGAAGAAGTGATACTTTAAATCATAATATCCTATTTTTAGACAGAATCCTGCTGCTGTAACCTTCTTTTAAATGTTGCTGTAGTTATTTTTCCTGATCTGTATTTAAAATAATGCATATTGTATTCTAACTCATGGGAATTTTAATTGAATATAGAAGCTGTAAATTTTGAATGTAAAAAAAAAAAGTAATGCTTTATATTTAGAGATGCAGATATTCAGTGACGTACTGAACTTTACTTTGTCTAATATCTGTTTCCTGCTGATATTAATAAAATAAAACCCTGTTAAATAGAAGAGCAAAAAGAATTTTCATTGGGGTCTTTAGAGAATGTACATTTCTTTCTTCTGTTCTCCTGTACAAATGAAGTTCAGGGAGCTCAGTGAGCTGTGATCCAGAAGGTTTTCTCTCTCCTGGCTGTTCAGCACAGAACTGCCTGCTCCAAGCAAGGCCTTTGCCCAGCACTTTCTGTCACTGCCTGGTGCTCCTGGGAGAGCAGCGGAGTTTCTGTGGGGAGACACTCATCACCAGGAATGCTCTTTTCCCTGCCTGACCAGCTGGAATGGGTGGAAGGGCTTTATCTGAAGGGTAGCTGGAGTTCTCCAGGAGGTAGGTGTGGGAAGAAGTGTGTGGGTGAGGCAGGGAGCTGGGGCCCTGTGTTGGAGTCACAGCATTTCTGTGTGGCCTGTCTTGCACAGATGATTCAGTGGGAGCTTGTTTTTCCTGCAGGGGTGCCAGGGTGCACCTTGCACAGCTCTGCAGCTCCACAGTTACCTGGAAGCAGGGCCTGGGCCTCACTGAAGCTGCCTGATGGGTGCAGGAGAGGGCACAGACACCATCTGGCACTGGTGTGCTGTGCGTGGCTCCAGCACTGTAGCTCAGAGGAGCAGTCTCACTGTTATCAGCATGGAGCTGTTTTGGAAGCTCTCAGAATCTTCTGCCAGGAAGCAAGAAGCACTGTAAAATTATGCTGTCTGGAACAGAAATAAATCAGTCCATTCCAGAAAGGATTACTGATGGCTCCCTTCAAGGTGATGAGGGGAAGGGATTTGTGCTTCCCTAAATCCAAGGTAAGTTGCCATAATCCTTTACTCTAACTCTTACAGGAAGATACTGTGTCATAAAGAAAATTCTGAAAATAAGTGGCAGTGAAGTTTGAAATTAGGTGCTGTGCAGAGGACTGTACTGTCACAGCCCCTGACTGGTTAGAAAAAAAGCCAAATGATTCTCAAAGCCCTGAGAAACTACATAAATAAAACATTATGTGTAGTTTATAAATAAATAAGCAGATGGTCCCCAGCAATTCGGTGTTCTCTGTGCAGACTCTGAGGCCAGTCCTTGTCCCACAGCATGTGAAGAAAATGTCCTTCAATTCTTTTAGCAATTAAATCTTTCAAGTTTTCTTGAACACTGGCTGGAAAGGAGAGACCACAGGTGCACGTGACAGGGGGATGAGAATTTTCTTGAGGTGTCCAAGGATGGAGAATTAATTTGTAAGGAGCTCAGCTGAGCTGGACTCACTGACTGCTCTGCAGATGGTGACAGCAATGGTTTTCTGGGCAGGGAGCCTGTGTCTTTAGAGAGCTGCACATGGATCCAGGGCTGGCTCTGCAGAGCTGCAGGACACAGCACTGTTCCTCTAACAAATTAACTCTGTCACCTGTGGGAGGTGGCAAATCCAGCCTTTCTGTCATGGCTGTTCCAGAGTTCAGAGTTTGCAGAAGCCTTGTCAAGGACCAGGGGGAAACTGAAACTGTCCGTGAAAGCCACATAGCAGAGCACCCACCTGCATCCTTTTGCCTGCCTGGCTGCAGACTGACAACTCTGGGAAAAAGGGGAATTACAGCAGAGATTTCCAGCCAGTTCCAGATCCAAACCAGGCTGTGGTGGCTGGCTGCTGACCAGCCCTGTTCCTGGAAGGGCACAGGAGAGCTCCCTTTTGAGTTAAGACAGGAAAGAAAAGGAGGGAGGGGAGAGGTGCCTACTGGAGAAGTCTTGTAAAGCAAACCAGAGCAATATCCTGTAGAATGAGCACATGAAGGAGAAAGTTGATCTATAGTAAGTCAGTCCTAATTTCAAGGAGCATTTCATGAGAATGCAGCTGCCTGGGCCATAGGAGTGATATGGAATGGGATAAAAGTGAGTGTTTCAGGGCAGAAACTATCTCTTCCTAAAATTGTCACAAGATTCCATAGTGTCATTTTCAACACTGAATATGAATTTAAATACATCTTCCAGGTAGACCTACCCTCAGTCCAGACTCAAAGGCCGCCTTAGATACATACCTTTAGGAAAACACCCAAATGCTGTCTTCAGCCATATCCTTTGTTCTGTTTTTGTACTGTCCAGTTTGCTGTGGGTAAAAGCCAGCCTTGCTTGTGACAGAGAGAAGGGCACCTTCCCCTGTAAGAAACTTGGTGTGCAGCATCTTGTTCCAGATCGCAAGGCAAGATGTATTCTATTTGCTGGCTGTATAGGAGGTATCTTTTGTCAAGTGGGCTGTTTTCCTTATTTTTTCCACAATCTCTCCTCCCTTGGGAGGGAGACATCAGCTGATAACAGGCTATTGAATGTCACTGCATGGCTGATAAGAACTACAGCATCCCATTGGGAGATGCTCCACCCAGAGGGAGGAGCCAAGCATTGCCACCCAGATATAATCTGGAGATTCTGGAAATAGCACACAGCGTCTCCACTGGATTCCCCAGAGGAACAGCAGCTGCCTCTTCTTCCACTGGATCTTCAGAGGAAGAATACATCCTTTCTACAGGATCCCTGCTCCAACAGAACCAGACCTGACACTCCAGGAGTACTGCAGCCACATTTCCAATAGGACTGCTACCAACACCCTGATCCACAGGGTGTCAGGGTGGGTTCTGACTCTGTTTTAGTTTACTGCATTGTTTATTTTATCCTTTTATTTTCTTCCCTATTAAAGAACTGTTATTCCTGCTCCCATATTTGTTGCTTGAGAGCCCCTAATTTAAATTTTATAGGAATTCGGAGAGAGGGGGTTTATATTTTTCATTTCAGGGGAGGCTCCTGCCTTCCTTATCAGGCACCTGCCTTTCCAAACCAAGACACATTCTGCAATGCAAAGAGGTCTGAAACAGCTGCTGCAAGCCCAAAATGTGGTTCAGGGTACCACCAAACCTATTCCTTAGAGTGTTCATCACCTTAATAGTTCTGCAGCTTTGCCAAGTAAAACTGGATGTCCAGAGACATCTGAACATTGACCCAATCATTGCACAGCCCAACACGGAGAAATCCAGCTACTGTCACTTTATTTGTCTTCATGCCTTGTGGTTCACTACACTTGTTTACAATACAAATACACTATTCAATACAAAATACTCAATGACCATATATTAGTATTTTCTTCATAGTATCCCTGAAGTGCACAGGCCCTTCCTTTATAAACAATGTTGCATAAACGGCTGTACATGAGACAGACACTCCTAAAATGAAGCTTGGTACTGAAAGAAGCCAGGAGGGGACACCTGGGGCGTTTCCCCGGGATGGGTTTAACTCTGGGACAGACGAACAGCGATGTCTTTGCTGCTGTGGAAGGCTGTTCTATGCTATTCCCACCTCCAGGTTCTCATCCCCCAGCAGCGAGGATTACCAGGAGCAGACATGCAGAGTGGCACTGCCATTCCCTGTTCCAGCCCTGGTGTGCTGTGGCTGCTCCCTGTGCAGGGCAGCAGGAGCAGCCCTGGTCTGACATTGCTGTCCGAGACCCACTGAGCCACATTAACGCAGCCCTGGGGCTTCCCACCGTGGTCCCTGCACCTCCTCTGGCTGTGGCCATCCCCCCTCCCACCCCACTCCCTCTCTGCACCTCGGGGAGCAGAACCACCCTCGCTCCTGCCCTGCTTCACTCCCAGGCACGTGGTGGGCAAACCAAGTTCAGCGGCACAAAGGGAAGGTGATGGGGCAGCTGGAAAGGCAGAGAGACAGGCAGCCGAACCCAGTTTACCTCCAGCAGCTCATGGAACCACCTACTTATCTTCTCTAGGAAACCAGGTAACATCCACATGGAAATAAGCCATTTTCAGGGTTTTTCCCCAAGCACAGGGTTGTTCCCCAGTTGTGCTTTACATCCTGTAGATCATACTGCTTCCCGCTTTTCCACTGCAGAATGAGGAAGACATAAATCAGAACATTATTACTACCAACACAAAAGATTAACGGTCTTAAAACAAGTTCCTTAAAAATATACAGTGTGTCAATAGACTATAATTTGAAAAATAAGTTATGGACAAAAATGGGTAAGAGGGTTAAAATAACTTGAATTTGTTTTTCTCCTAGCATGGAGGGGTTTGATAGTGGAATTTGGGATTTACAGAGTGCTTTGGTCTGGTGAGCCCATGGTGACTTAAATCCCTTCTGCTCCCTGCAGCTCTGAGTACTGAACAGGTGAATCATCCTAGACACAGAAATTAAAATTTCTGGTTCATGCTCATGGCAACTGCAGCCTGAACACAATCAACAGAGCACCCTTTGGTCCAAGCAATTAATGGTAGTATTTATTTTCTAAGAAAAAGGACAGGCAAATGCTCCAGGTCCTGTTCCTAAGTGAGAAGATTTGATTACCACCAATATTTATAGAACAGTTTTTGCAACCTGGGGTACTGTGCTTGGACAGCACACAGAGACACCAAACTAAATGCTTGCTGTGGAAGAACTCAGAAATTGTATGGTTTTAACATTAAAAATGAGCCCAAACTGTATTTCTGAATTCCAAGAGTTAAGAGAGAGGGATTAAAAATAAATCAAACAAACAAACAACAGTAATACAAACAAACCCCAAAACTCCAGCCTCAAAAAACCAAGAAAATCCAAATCAATAAAGTACCCACAACAAAGCATTTTGCACTGGAGACATTAGAGGGAAGCTCACTTAAAAGCAGCTGCCAGGGATGAACAGTATTTGTCTCAATGCACTGTATTCAGCAGACTGGAGAATTTCAGTAGCAATTCACCATTTCCCCTGATCAGAATTATCTCTTGACATATTCCATAGGTAAGAAGCAGGATTGTGTTTAGCACCTTCATTTTTTTACAACTCCCATTCTGTAAGAAATTCTATGATAAAATAACTGCACAGCACAAGCTCAAAGCAGTAATCACACTCTCATCATGGCTGGGAGAGCCTGCCTTTCACACCTACAGGCTTAAAATAATTTCTTACTGCTTGTGCTTTTTAAGTTTCTTTAGAAATTCCAGCTTTTACATCATAACCTGGCAGCTTATCTGCATTTGTGCAGCATGGAAGCTGCTGCCTCAGACCCAAGA